TGGTTCAGACATCATTCTTCAATTCGACCACTTTATATGCCAAAAATAGGTCTCAATATAACGGACTATGTAACGAAATTTCTTGTTTTAAACAGGTAGCTGCACTTTCCTTTAATGTTTTTATCATAACTTTGTATTCCGATATCCGATTGAGGCGATTCAAAATGTGTTGGAAAGCTAACTCATATAGTTACAACTTTGATTCAGACATCATTCTCCAATTTGATCACTTTTTATGCCAAAAATAGGTCTCAATATGAGACTAAAATATCGGAGCATAACTTTTCAGTTGGAAATTGATTTGTGATCATCTTTTGACTAAATTTGATTCCATTGACGTCTTCCTTTATCCAATTGACTCCGAGCACTCTCAAATCTTCATCGTGAGGTTCGGCACAACTTTTAAGTATTTACATTTTAGTCCCCGAACTTTGGATCCCTTACAATTTAGCCATTTCTCCAAATTTGTCAACTTTTGCTTATTTTCTTCGATCTCACCAACTTACATCACAACATCAAAATCACACATCTAATTATTTATCAATTACATAAACATTACATCATTAATTATTTAATTAACCAAAAAAATTACATCTTTATTAATAACAAATTAATTCTTAAACAAAACTATTAAATATAAATTGGGCAAACGTGCATTGCACGTTGCTTGGACCTAATATATATATAAAAAGTATCTATTTAACGGAATTTCTTGTTTTAATCATACGTTAGGAGCGACTATTGCCACCTTATTCATCTAAGGAATCTGAAGAGTTGTAATGGAAGACGATGGATTGGTATTTGATACTAAAGAGGATCAAACTTGAAAATTTCCATATATGGAAGTATGATCTTCTTATAAGTTGTACTTTCCTCTCTAAACATAAAATTATAAATGGAAACGTCGCAATTTATCCAAGTTCACCTAATTAAATGAACGTCCATACCAAGGCAATTACGGTAATTCCACGGGAGAAAATTCCATGGTAGATCTACGTAACGGCGCGGTCGAGAATCCCGTTATGGTTAACGGAGTTAGGACTATACCAAAATAAGAAGGCTATCCAAACCGATAAACGGAATTGTCTGCTCAGAAAGCATCTTCGCTATCATCATTACCCACTTCACTCCTTTCACTTATTCTCTCTCTCTCTCTCTCTCTCTCTCGTTCTTTGTAACAGAAAAAGGCGATTCAAAGGCAGAAAAATCTGTACTGCACAAAATTCTTAGAGAGAAATAGGAATTTTCACAATGTTCATATAGCTCTTGATCTTGTTGCAGCATAGCATAAAAAGCCTCTACAAGATCATAAAGTTCTGACAACTAATTATTATTAACGTTAATTTCGTGTGATTTCTCTCCAGATTTTGGAGTTTTTCGCTGAAAACTAGGACAGATAATGAGAGGGTGTAAGAGAATTGCTGAGGTGGCGGCGGAGGATGGCATCAGAATGACGAGAGCTAGAACAGCACTAGCCGCCACTACGACGGTGAGTAAAAGGAGAAAAGTTGATGGAGGAGAATTGGAGTTAGCCACAAATTTAGTTCAGCTCGAAACTCAAACCCTAAGCATAATGACGCCGGAGAATTCAGATTCCGGAAATTCAACATGCGAGAGTTTTAGTTCCGATCATGTTTTAGCATCTTGTTGCTCAAGCAATGAAATCAATGAAGTGATGAAAGGGAATTCGAAATTTTCAGATCTGCAGGTAAATGTTTAATTCAAATTTCGACTGAATCTGTGAATTTGCCACGAATTTTTGGTCCAGTGATTAGTAGCTAGATATTGATTTACAGGAGGAGAGTGAGATTGTTGTGGANTAGCTAGATATTGATTTACAGGAGGAGAGTGAGATTGTTGTGGAAGTCCAAACGTCGACATATGATCTTGCGGATTGTAGAGAGAGGTAAATTAATTGATTAAAATGTTATTTACATTTTTATTGATCACTTCTCTTCAATATCCATTGAAATTTTACTTTTTTACTTTTCAGTAGAGCAATCACTCCATCGAGAGAGGTTGAAGCTGAGCTAGAGTCTACTTCGAGGCCACGAGAGGCAAATTCTCGCAGTCCGATGCAGAAGATGCCTTCGGAAACTGAGATCGAAGAATTCTTCGCCGCTGCTGAAAAAGACCTCCAAAAACAATTCACTGACAAGTAATTCTCACTGAATTCATTAAAACATTGTTTTTATCACATCCTCCGAAGTGCAGACGGAATTCAAACTTCAAAATTCTTAGCCGTGCACAATTTCGATAAATGCAGGTACAATTTTGACATTCTGGAGGACTTACCATTGGAAGGACGTTACGATTGGGATGAACTGAACCCCGAGTTAGGTAGCACCAACACAGAAACGGGAAATACAACAAGACTCGATACTTGACTATGCTATGTCCAGAAAAAAGTAAGACATGAAATGCTGTTGTATCAATAATTTAAATCTTAATTTTAATGCATTTCTAGGTTTCCATTTCAGTTGAAAACTATACCTTTTCTCTATTTCACTCTTTCTTTCTGGTCTTGCAAATAAATTCTGCTTGTAATATCTGGAATTTAGTGAAAAATTCACTCCCTTTTGGGCAAAATTCTCCCTTTGCCAGCACTTCTTTATCCTTGTACAATATGCCAACCATAGTTTGTGTAACCATAATTCCAAGCCTATTATTCCTTGATCAACTTTTCCTTATTATGAAATTACTTATTTTGTCAAACATAATTTTTTAAATAATGATATTTACTTTTTAAGTAATATTATTTTCGAAAAAGCCCTTATTTGGACTCTATTTTTGCAGAACTCATTTTCAATCACAAGTTGTCCCGTAAAATAATGTTATATCTAAACCCAAAATTTTTCCTTATTTTTTAACTACATTCTCTAAAAAATCATTATTTCAAAACATATTTTCCTAATCTCATTTTATCTCCTGTTTGTCTTCCTTTGAAACAAAACTCTTTAATTCTCATACTAATTTTTAACCACGCATTTACGCAACAAAATATTTTCACGCAAACCCAAAATTTCTCCATATTTTTAAACCATATTTTCTCCAAAAAATTATTATTTAAAACTTCATTTTTTTCAAAATAATTGCCATCCATAGATGAAGTCCAAACAGGGGCAAAGTAACTTTTAAACATATACCTAACCAGGAGCGCAAACTTGTTGAAAACTGGGACAGCTATGGCTTGTGTGTGTGTGTGTGTGTTCTGGACCACTTTCATTTCTTGAACTCCACTGGAATCTGGAATGCAATACAAAGTACAACATTTCACTGAGATCAATAATTCCATTCCAAAGTATAGATATTTTACCAATATCTAAACTCTAGCAGACATCTACCATTCATCTCCAACCTATTGTTATAATATCAAGTTAACCCATCAACTTCCAATTTTAAAATTTTTTAATTTATTGTTAAATTCGTCATGAAGTTTTATTTCAAATTTCTCAATGCACTAGGTTAAATTAAAACACAAAATGACAATAGTGGATATATGAATGTTACGTGACGATTTAGTTGATATTGAGTTGTAGAGTTTCAACTATAATAAAAGTTTACATTTTTGAAAGGTGGAGGATCAACTCTCACACATTACATACATACATACATACATACATACATACATACATATAAGGGGGTGGGGTGGGCTAGGAGTAGCTTTTGCCAAAGAGAAGGTAGCATGAGGAGGTGGTATGGAGGGGTAGTGGTCCTATATTGTAAATTGGTACCTCAACTTGAAAGAGAAAGCTAAAGGGATGGTAGGCCTCCCTTCTTACTCTATGTAGGGATATATAGCCCACCAACTAATTTGATTCCATAAATTTTATGTTTCAATTCAGAAACTGTTGGTAAAGTGAATCCTTTCATGAATGCAAGCACACATATATTTATCATTTCATGTAAAATATATTTATCTGGCTATGTGATTTTCATTGATTAAGAAGTTTTTGAAATTTCTCTCTGATCCTTTTGGTTTATGTAGAAGAAGTTTCTATATCAGCAAATATTTTAAAATCGATCTGGACATTGACTCAAAAAAGTTAAAAGAATATTAAGACAGAAAACTTGAGACAACATATTTGAGCTCAAGTGTTCAAGGGTTGGAGTATTTCAAATCAGTCGGAAAAAAACAACAGAACAAAAATTTAGGTGAACGAGATGATATATTCTTGATTTGTTTTATTGATACGCAACTTCGCGACTTTTTTCTCTTCCACCTAAAATTGAATAGATTTTGATTTTGTACATTGAACTGATATAATATTCTTATCAGTATTTTTAAAACTTAATTCTCATATTGAATTCATAAGATAAAATGTCAAAAGTTATAAAGGATCCACAAAATTGAATTAGAGGCCTGCCACCAAAAATATGAAAATAAATTAATTTTTTTTTTAATCAATATAGAAACAAAAACTTATCCATAGCTAAAATTTAGAATTTCATGATATTGGTCATAAGGTCGATGTCATGACAACAAATATAACATGTAATGATGTAACATGTCATCAGAGAAGATAACTTTTTTTTCTTCTAATTTTTAGAACGTTGCTTCCGTGCCATTAGTATCGATCGAAGCATTCATTTATTTTACTATTGACCATAAAATATCTAGACGTTAAGATTTGATCTTTGTCACATGCTCAAAAGATTTGGGGCATTTTCTAATCCCAGTCGGGTTGAACGTCCCGGGTCGTTCTTGGTTGTCATTATGCCAGCTAATTAGAATATAATATAATGTGTGTGTGCATTTTTATCACAATCCTTTCATTAAAAATGTCCAAAGAGATAACAATAAATAGAGAGAATATTACGCCACTGTTTGGACTCCATTATAATTTTAATGAATTTTTATCTTTTTTTTTTATCACATTTTTCAATAAAATAATATTATACGTAAACCCAAAAAATTTTTTTCTTTTTTAATCACATTCTCCGAAAAATCACTATTTCAAAATACATTTTTTCTATTGCAGGTGTACATATTTTGGTACTTTTTTCATTTTCAGATCAAAAAGCATCTCTTCAATAACAATTACTGAGAATTTTAAACTGTTTTGAGTTCGTAACTCCCACCAAAATCAGTTTCGAGTACGAGTACCATTTTGTTTCAAGCATCGTTTGAATTTAAAGAACTTTTTCGAGAGAGTGACAAGGATTACTTCAGCTAACTCATTGACTCCGCGTTCATGAAATTTCAAATACCTTATTTTCTAAGACTTCGTGTTCTATTAGCATCGAACACTTTAGCGATTAGTTAAAGCACTTTTGAGGGCTGTGCAGATGTTTATCGAGCTAAGCATCTTTATATTTGCGGTTGAATCTAGCTTTCAACCACGAGGCTAGATAAATACATCGTTGTGTACAAGACCCGGGTGCATTTGTGCAAGACTTGAAGATGATAATTTACACGTATATTTCCTATGGAGCATTCAAAAGATTCACATATAAACTGAGCACCAGGTGTGTGTGCCCACTGTACATTCTCTTCGTACACGTTCAAAAAAGTTTCTAACTCGAAAAATAGTGTAACAAAAACTTTACAAGCCAATATGATCTAGAGGACTACAGTAGCTACTGTACAACATCTGAAAATTGAAAAAGAAAAATGAATTCAACCTGGTAAATATCTCAGACGATATCTATGGAACCAATTGATCTTGTAGACGTTGATCTGTTGGAGCCTTCCTTAGTTGCAGAACAAGTAATGGATCTGGTAGAACCCTCCTTTGTAAAAGAACAAGAACCATCCTTTGCAACTGAATAATATATCAAGTTCTTAACAACCTGCCGATATCTCCTTCTGTAAGTCGGAAACTTGGATACACTTCTAGTCATTCCCACCATCCTGCTAAGCACACAACTAATTATAAGTATACATATGGTAGTGCTTTTAAGGACTTATAAACCATGGGTCCTATGATATGTGTGGATAACAAGTGGGTAATAACTGTGGGTCTTACGAAATGTATGAATACAATTTTCCTCACCACCCAACCCTAGGTCTAACAAATACTTGCCCACCTCGTAATTTTTTTATATAGTGTGAATATTAGGCAGACAGTAAAGTAATTTTTTTACCTGCGACTGATACCATCTAATCGAGCAGCCCTGACAGGGTCTTGAGGAATAAAACTACCATTTTCCCAAGTCTTAAGGCGTTCTGTATTGTTTCCAAAGAGAATCAACTTCTCCAGGTACCGTATCTCGCCCTCTTCCAAAGAAAGTACTCTGATTTGTTCTTTGAGGACCATCACAGGTTGGAAAAACCAGTCCAACAATCTGCTCTGGGGTCGATTCAAATGGGTTATCTCGAGATCATCCAAAAGCAGTAGCCCATTGGAGCCAGCTTTAATTGAGTGCAGGAGTGTTTGCAAAAATGAGAAACAGGGCAATCCAACAGCAACAATGGACGCATCGTTTGTTTTCTTTGCTTTCAACCAATCATTGAGGTCAGCAGTTGATATCACATTTGTATCCAATAGTTCCTTGCCTCTTTGTTCGCATAATTTCATTGTGCTTCCCCATACCTGTTACAATTTTTGCAAAATAAAAGAGACCATTCATTTCTATTTCATGGCAAGCAGCAAATGTGAACTTTAAAACGCGATAAAACTGTCAATATCCCATTGTTAGAGAATTAGCTATTCTCTCCATCATGCCAAAAGCACGGCCTAATCGGGTCAGGGCTGTGATTGGTTTGTCATCACAACAACAATAATTTGAGGCTTGTCAATGGACCCTTCACAAGAACTTAATATGTATTCCAGAATAGTAGGCAGAGGGGATTTTCATTTAATTGATTCACCAACTTCATGTTCAGTGTAAAAATAAAATAAAATAAAATAAAAATTCTATTATTATGTACCAAGTTTATTATACACTTTTGCCTCAACTTCATTCTTCATTTTTCTGCTTCTCAGTAAGTACATTAATTTAACTTCTATAACAACAAACTATGACCCGTTAACAATAAATGTGTTTGAGATTGGCTACATGTATCCATTTACGCAACTCCATTCAGATCATTGCTCGAACTACTAGAAGATCTAAAGCAAGCAGATCTTTAACTTACATGCCACAAAAGTTCTTTTCTAAGCAATTAGATATTTATGCAAGCCATAGTGTTTCAAAGAAAAAAGTTGAATTTCAATGACCACAAGTCCTCAAAATTACTTTATCTCAATTCTCTTGCATTAATAATACGATCCTTCGATTAATTGACAGTATAGTGTACTCAGAAGTTTCTTCCCGTTAGCATTCAATTGCATCCTTAAGCTATAACATGGAAGTACAATATATTGTTAATGGAACAGAACGTCGTTTCTGCATGTCTTAGATGAATTATCCTGAATTCCCCTAATAACTGAACATGCATACCTGCACCATTGGCACCTCATGTATTGCCTCCCGAACAGATCTTGATGCTATAAGGGTTGGCACGAGGATTGAAGGAGCTTCAGTGAAGACAGAGCTGTAATTTCCATGTAAGGAATGATTTTGCTGAACAGAAAACTCAGAATTGGATTTACTTTTCTTCCGGTATCGGGGCCTGGCCATGACTAACAAGATTAGTGTCGTGGAAGGTGAATGACAACAAAAAAGGCTATAAAACTTTGAGAAGTTTGGCTAAGCTTAAAAAAACTTTAAAAAATATAAAAAAAAAAAAGAGCAAAGTTAATTACTTTTATTTTTTCAGTCCAAAAATGTTTGATAACATACTTTTTCTTACTTCTAAATTAAAAAAGTTACCTTTCTTAGAGCAACTCTTTAGTGTCAAAATAAGAAACTCACGTATTTTGAACTTCCAAAAAGAAAAATTGTTTACTTACTCATTTACTCGTAAGTAAACTTTTTAAGTTTAGAATTCTCTACATCCACGAAGCAATGATAAAAAACCCTCCAGAAAAGAAATAAAATAATCATGAATTGAATGGAACTAATTACTTTGGAAGGATTGAACCCTCACGAAGATAGAGCAAATCATTTGTGTACTCATCAAATTCAGCAACCATAGCAATGACATAGGCAACACCTCTTCGGAAGGACCTTTCCTGCATAACCATGAATAATCATCAGAAAAAACCACATGTAATTCAGAAAGTTGTGTTTTGAAAAATCTCTGGCTGAAACATACCTGGTATACTATAACGGATCCATATAATCCTATGAAAAAACTTGAAAATATAGCCATTATGATGCTCCCAATAACAACAAGCGGCCACATAAGGATTGCCAAACCAGCAATTGGAACACAGGCTGTTTCTAAAAATGGGCCTTCCCGGCTGATCAAATCGTGTACTAATCTATGCCATCCCCTGAACAACATGTAAGGACTCTTTACTATTGCAATTGCCGTGTAAAGTGGAATTTCTACTATCAGCCCCATCAACCCAACAATGATGCACCCAGGCACATGAATGAATCTGCATGATGGTTTCATCAAAGAAGGTTAAGAACGATAATAATCGTTTAATTCCATCATATTTTTCACATGTATTCGACTGTGTAATACTTTCCAATCAGAAAAATCTGAAGAAACCGAAATTTTAAATGCTAACGTTAATGTTAATGTTAATCTAAGCAATTATCTGCAAACGAAGGACAGTAAACATTTTATGTTAAGCTATCCCTACTTAATTTTACCTGGCTATGGAGAAAATAACCAGTTGTGGCATAGTTATTATGCCCCTGTTTGAGCCTCATATTTATGAGAATGAATTTTGTAAAAAGTAATTTCTTTGGAGAATGTAGTGTTAAAATGTTTAGGGTTTATGAGCAAAATTATTTTATTAGAAGAATGTGTAGTTGAAAATGATTTTGAGAAAATTGAGTTCTAAAGAATGAGACTCAAACGGGGCTAAATCTAATTAACGTAATTATGTCAAATATAAATTTCCTTCAACCTCGAAACAGAATGAAAAGATAAATTTATCATTGATAAGAAGAATCTTGTTCGTTGGGAATTAAGACAAATTTCCTTTATTTGCCTATAGGATTTTTATTGTTTACGTAAAAATAACAGACAAGAAAAAATATTGAAATTAGACGAAAAATTTACGGACTGTGAAAGCTTTCACTATATGAAAATTTGTATAATTATATAGAATTTTCACTCACCCAGACCCTCCAAGTATTGTAAGAAAAAAAATACCATAAACTTTACCGAACCCACCAATTTACTCTTTGTACAACCCACAAAGAAAATAAGAAAAATTAGGATACTAACAATTTTTCCTCACAAAACTTCCTAGTCACGTGTAAAAACTATATAATCGACCAAGTCATGGATTGCTCATTGGCTTCCTTATCAAATTGGGATTCTTTATAATCCTTTTCATATTCAATTACCACCTCCAATTGCTTTTTCAAATTATATGACTCAGCGGGCCAGAAAGCATAGGAATCTTCAATTAAAATAGCAATTTTTTTCTTATTTGCAATGAAGTCCTCTTAATTTAGAATTTTTTGAGGCAACAATCTCTACCTTGCCAAAACAAGCAAAATTCCCTGTCCGCCCCATTAGTTGGTCGGACTAATTTGGCTTTAAAGCCCAATCAATTAATTAAAAGGAAGGGTCCCAAATAAAAACAATATAGTTTGAAGACAAGGAGAAATTCCTGAAACCCCATCATTAAGTAAGGACCCATTAGGGCATGATGATTGCCTTTATAAAATGTGCAGTATGTGCATGAATTCTGTGTGAGAAAACTGAAACAGCAACAGAAAATTTACGTATAGTAAATAGAGGAAAGAGGGGGGAAATAGTAGGAAAGATTAGAGCTTTGCTAGATGATTAGGAGTTTGAAACATTGTCAGTTTCAGTTCGGACCCCATTTGATGAGATCATTAAATCTTCTCTTTATTATTTGTTCGTAGAAACCCATCTATCAGATCATGAATATTTTGATGAACCAAAAATTATTGAATCTTGATGATAATACTCTAGTATTATCTAGAGAAGTAGCAATCTCATTATTATTGATTATAGTTGAAGAATTAATCGGAGTTGTGTTTGTGGATGTATGCAAGTTGCCGAACCACATTAAATTGGTGTTCTTGCAATTTATTTATTTTCCTATCAGCTTTGTTAGAATTGGTTGGTTACCCTATTTTATTTACTCAAATTGGGAAAGGATTATTCTGCTGTGTATTATTTAGTTTGTTTCCGAACAAGTGATATTTGATATTCATTATTTGTTGTAATAGAATGGAAGAAAAATAGTTTGGGATGATAAAATTGAGTTCGTCAAAATACTCAATTGGGAAACAAAAGATGCATGATATGCTATGCTGCAGAGATCTTTTTAAGCATTTTAAATATACAGCAAAGCAAGAAAAATTATCTGATGAAATGGGAAACATAGCACATGAAAACCGCTACTATGATCAGATAGTGGGTTGATCATAATACTTTTCATCATATTGCTGAAGAAACCAAGGCTGATGCAGTTTGAAAAAAGTAAGAATCCATGTACGAGAAGAACACATCCAGAAATAAAGCAACAATAATTAGAAGGCTCGTAAATTTGAAGTACAGAGAAGGGCGCAGTACGGTAGAGCATAAAAGTGAGTTTATTGGCTTAGTGAATCAATTATCAACTATGAAGATGAACCTCTAAGATGAGATGCAGGTACTTTTACTGCTCTGTTCTTTGCGTGACAGTTGGAATACACAAGTGATTTAATTAACTCAATACCAGATGGAAAACTAATCATGGATATGGTTAAAGACAGTTTGCTCTACGAATAAGCCAGAAGAGGAAAAAGGTGAATATTCTTCTGATGCCCTTGTTACTGAACAACATGAAAAGCAGGTAAGAAGTAAAAGCAGAAAGCCTAGTGGTCATGGGTCAAACGATTCTTCTAGAGGGAAGTTTAAATCTAGAAAGAAATTGAGGTATTATCATTGCAAGAAACTCCGACATAAAAAGAGTGAATGTAGAATTTGGAAAAGGGAATGGTATGAAGGAAAGACATGTGAGAAACAGACTAATACAATATTGACTAAAGATGATTTAGGTGGTGTCCTTAATGACAATACAGTCAGTCTTGCATGCCAAGACATTGATCGGGTGAATGACTCTGGCTCCTCCTTCCACCCCACCTCGTGTCATGATTTCTTTAACTCTTATATTGTTGGTAATTTTGGCAATGTCAAAATAGGGAACACTGAAGTATAAGCATTGTTGGTGTTGTCGCCTCAATTTGATTTCTACGGGAAAATTTAACGACGTGGAATTTATAACAGTTTTGGTAGAGGTAAATGGAAGCTCGCCAGAGGCTCCTAACAATGGTCAAAGGAATGAAGACGAATACACTTTATGTTATGCAAACAAAGCATTACAAAGGACAGGTTAATGCAGTTCAGAAAGCTGCAGATATTAACCTTTGATACGAGGCTTCGTCGTGTTAATGACAAAAGGACTTCAAACTCTTACTAGAAAGAAGTTCATTCGTAATGTGTAATGTATGCCTCTTAAAACTTGTGTTGATTGCTTGGCTGGAAAAACATAGAGTTACTTTTCATTCATAGCCCTTGACTAGAAAATCAAATATTCTTGATTTGGTTCATTCTAATTTTTCTTCTATACCAACAAAATCTCTTGGAGGTGCACATTCTTTTGTCACATTTATTGATGATCATTCAAGAAAGGTTTGGACATACGGTTTGAAATCTAAGATCAAGTGTTATCTGTTCAAAATATTCCATGCCAACTTGAAAGAGAAACGGGTAGACGGTTAAAAGCTATTCGAGCTAATAATGAAGGTAAGTGTAGGGGCCTGTTAGAAAGCTAAGACAAAGTTCATGGGATCAGGCAGGAAAAAACTCCAACGGCTGAAAGAATTAACAGACACTAGAGGAAATGGTCAGATGTACGTTGTCTCATGCTAAACTACCAAAACACTTTAGGGTATAGGCTATGAGGACCGCAGTCGATACGATAAATTTATCTCCAACATCAACTTTAGATGGTGATATTTCGAACACAAGTTTGGATAGGAAAATAGAGAAGAGATAAGAAAGATACTAGGAAAAATTAGAGCTTTGCTAGACGATAGGGAGATTGAAACATTGTCAGTTTTAACTCAAATTTTACACAATGAATCCTAGTGACGTGCTCTACAATCGATCAGTCTCATTTTTCAGTTCAGACTCTATTTGTGAGATCATTAAATCTTCTTTTGATTATTTGTTCGTGGAAATCAATCTAGTGGATGATGAATATTTTAGTGAACCAAGAATTATTGAATTCTTGATGATATTGTGGTCCTCTTGTATCATCTAGAGAAGTTTATAGTGAAGAATTAAATCGGATTTGGGCCAGTGGACGTAGGCAAGTTTCTGAAGTACGTTAAATTGGTGTTCTTGTAATTTATTTATTTTCGCATTGGCTTTGTTAGAATTGGTTGATTATTCTATTTTATTTACATAATGAGAGAAAAAATTATTCCACCGTACATTATTTAGTCCATTTTTCCAACTATTACGTTGTCGAGTCCTATCAAATACTGCATATTAAATATGTCCTCAATGTGTCAATTGAAAACCATTACCTGAGAGGTTGAAGTTCATGAGATGCAGGGTATTCACGTAACTCCTTCAGATAGAGTGGGTAAGAATGATAGCATATATCAGCGAAATCCCGAACAACAGTACAACTACCCTTGACAGTACCCCACGTTCCATCCTGAATTTTCACACACCAAAAGAAAAAGTCCAATATAAACAAAAATTAGGAAAGAAAATCGAGTTTCCAAAAGAGAAAAATGGAAATAGATAGATCAAATAAATACCACAATGCAGTGGAAGAATTTCTTGGATTCATTGTCAAGTCTGAAGGCCTCGAAAGCTGAAACCCAAGGAGTGAAAAAACCATATCCCACTCCCACGAGTACACTACCAGCTATGCTAAGAGCCAACCAGATACCAAACAGAACAGGCAACCCAAAAAAGATTGCGACCTTAAGTGGTGCATCAAACCTATTTGTTCTGTTTTCAAAAAAAAAAAAAAAAACTTCGATCAGTATGGAAAACCCACGTTAAAAAAAAAAAGGATAAATAAATCAACAGCAAACTTCAAACAACAACAATCCAAATCACAACTAAAGTTTAGGTTGAGCAGAACTTCTAAAACATTATGCTTTCAAGTCTTGAAAACTGAAACTTCTTGGAAACTAGAAAATCACAAAAGTTCCTAATTTTTTTTATTTTTTAAAAACAATGGAGAACTTAATTAAAGCGTTATAGACTTTTGACCAAAAAATTTGAAACTTCATTAGGAATTGTGCTTCGTTGTGGGTTCTCTTGCGGACTTCGACACAAAATTAACTTAATTGCAGGCTTTTGTCATGGAACTCGGGAGAGCCACATCTCAAAAGTTAGCCATTGAGATTGGAGAGCCCAAACCTATATAAACAACGCAAAGGAAGCCCATACTTCCGATGTGGGATTTAAACCCCCATAAGTTCACTGGAAGCATGACAAACCACCACGTTTTCGACCCTGATGCCCACACAGGGCAAGCGCCCAAACATCAACTAGGATCTCGAGACGTGATGCCTGATACCAATGTCATAAAACTTGGGAGAACCTCGTCAAATGCTAACCGTTGAGATTGGTGAGTCAAGCCTATATACATCACACAAAGGAAGCCCATACTTCCGACGTGGGATGTTCCACTGAAACCATGACAGCTTTAGCCTTGTACTACAAAAGATTAACAAGTTGCTAGAATTTCAATCAATATTAAATATCTTATTAACATCAACTATCGAATTTATAAAAATAATCAAAATTTTGTGTCCATTTTTTGGGTGGGGGTGAATAGCACTCAAGAATTAGGGAGAGTAAAAATGGGTAAAAAAAAAGTTATTACTCGACAAGGGTGTAAACTGTCCAGGCCACATGTGCAGGGAAAAGGCCTAAAATCACGCCCAGATTCCCCAATATCAGAATTAAACAAGCAATCGGACCCACCAGCAAACCTGCAAACTCATAAACAAGAAACCATAAACAGATGAACAATTAAGAAAATTACACAAGAATTCTTCAAACTTAACACAAATTTACACACTTTTAAAGGCACCCAGTAAAAGAGCAGAAAAGAATGCAAAAACTACATAAAGAGACTTGAGCAAATATTTCCAACTATCTCGCATGATTTCTTTGAAGAATTTCTTCTGGAAAAAAAATAGAACGGCAAAAAGAATTTCAGAAATTTTTCAAAGCTCCCAAGAAGTTTATAAGAATGAGAGAGGGAGAGAGAGGTTCAAAATCAAATGATTCGAGAAGAACGAATAAGCCCAAAAGTCCAAAACCCAACAAGAATCAAACAGCACGTCGCCGAAAGAAATTATATTTAAAGGGTTTTGCGTGTATGTGAGAACCTCAACAATTTCACCTGTACTTGCAGTCAGAGATGGACAAAACGTTTGAATCCAACTGATAAAATCAAATGGGATAAAGGGATTCTCCTTAAATTAAATATTCAAACAGATATCTAAATCGACAATCGATGAATTTTGTTCTATTCTCAATTCTAAACCTAGAATCGAAAAATCGAATAAAAATTGAATTTCCGTAATTTTTTTTATCTTAAATAAGTTAAATTATTTTATTTTTTTCTAAATAAATTTGCTAACTAATTAATTTAACTTAAATTCAATATATGATTTTTCATATTTCTAATTTAAAGCACAAGTTCAACTTAATCAAATTAACCTAATTTTTACTCAAATATCATATTTTATCGTATTGCCGTTTTAGATAAATATAATTGGAAGTTTGGTTATGTCTTTCTTCATTATTGTGAGCTCGCTATTCTCATCTTTCTATGATTTTAACAATTAAATCTACGAAGAATTCAACAAAAAAAGACGCAGAAGATATCACGGGATGGGACTACGTTATTTTGTAAGAGCTAAAATTAACACATGTCATTAGTACACATTCTCTATCAATTTATTATTTCAAAATACATTTTGCACCAAAAATGTGGTTCAAACATGTCCTAGAGCATATTTTAATATATATTTTTTAGAATGATTTATTTTTATAAGAAGTATTTTTGTGTAAATAAATTGAGAAATCTTTAGTTTTTTGCTCAAATTGAGAATGGGAATCTATAAATACACATGTTTGTTTCGTCAATTTTTCAATTTTATAGGATCTGTTTGATGTAGATTTTGTGGTTTTTTGTTTAAGAATTTATAATTTAAAAATAGGAAAGTGCAAGATTAATTGAATAATGGTACTTGTATAAAAAACAGTTACGTAATGGTTTGCATATCGATGATGTGTTAAAAAGAGAGTAGAATTTTTTTTATTTGGTTGAAGAAATTTTGACCCCAATCATATCTAAGGACTATGCTACATGTATATAATGGTTGACACATTGATATACATTCGTATAAGTTGGCAAATTTTGGTACATTGATCTTGACAACACTTTTTTCAATCTACTATCGATTTTTGACAAATAGAGAGTATCAATAAAGGTGTACATTTTTTGTGTACAAATAATTTAATTTCATATATAACATCATCATGTGTATGTAGACCATTATATAAACATATTATGCACATGTAGCACAATTGAAATTAATTTATTGTTAGAATTTAGAGCTGAAAAATGAATTTGAAGAAAATAAAAATTGAAAATCTGTATCAAACGAGATATGTATATTGCTTACGAAAAGTTAACAATCACATAATAATTCAGAAGTAATAATATGTAGCTCCAGTAGTAACAAGCAATAGTCATGCAAATGTTATTAATTGATATATTACCTTTAAAGTAGGGAAACAAATCACATTTACGATATTCAATCACTTGCATGACATTTAAATTGATGGTCTAAGATCAGTTATGCTAAATAACATTATCCCGAATTGAGGGATGCAAATTTTTCCTTTGTAAATACTATATTTATGTGGACCTTTGATTAAGTGGCTGGTGATATAGGGGTAAAATTGTTATTGACTTTTCTAGATTGTCTCCTCTGTACACGTGGCAAAATTCAATTGTTATTGTAGACAGGATTGAAAACACTGGATTCAGAACTAAAAGTCTTTGATTTTGACCTTGGCATTAATATCCATTTTACTATTCGGAGGATTGCGGGTCAAGTAAGCTGCTGCCGTGCTGGCCACGTGATTTCAGTTTTGTCAAATCACGACTACGCCACGTGCACAACTAAAGCATAGGATAGAATGTTCTATTGTTCCAACTTATAAAATCTTTTTTACAATATTATAATCGATATCTTACCCTTGACAATATTATATTTATCTATTTTAAAAATAATTTTTTAAATCAATGATTTAAATTTTGACAACATCAATGTGGTAATCACAATTGTCATACAAATAAGTTAATTCTTTTTTTAAATAACATCCTTAGCACTCATCATATGTGTGAAATTTTAAATCCAATTAAATATAGAAAACTATTTATTTATTTAATTAATTCTATAATTTAATGTACAGGAACTGATATTATAGTAGCATTATTCATTTATAATATATTAAATATCACTTCAATTAATAATCATTTTTGGACGATTCTACCCTTACTATAATTTAATTATTTCAACAATACCTTATTTTTCATTATTTATTTAATTATTTTAATAATACAGTACTTTCATTTTTCAACATTATTTAATTTATTAATTATTTGAACGATATAATCATTAACTATTTAGTTATAATGAATGTAAATTTGACACATTCATTACATTATTTTTCATTTTTCAATATATATTTGATTTATTTAATCATTTGAGCAATATTGTCGTGGATTATTTTGTCAATTATTTAGTTATGAACAAAGTACATTTGCCATAGTTGTTCCACTTAATTGGATAGTAAATTAAATTCATTAAATATTTTTTGGAACAAAAGATGAATGTTTTTTGAGTTTTCTTTCAATTAATTTATTCAATGAATTTTAAAAAATAGATAAGGTAAATGGGGGAACACAATGTATATCTATAATAAATAATTTCAATTGATATATTCAATGTTTATTAAGCAAATATGAAAAAGTGATGGTATTCGTTGGATATTCAGTCCAGATCAAAAGGTAGATGAATGGACTATTCTAATTGGTTTTCTCAACTATTTAAATTATTTTCACAAACTGATTTTTATTTTATTTAAATCAAAAGTTCATTCTACATAAATAATTTGTATTAATTATTTTTTTGTATTCTCGCATATTACAATATTACTTTTATATCACCTATAAAGCATGTCAAAATGACATGCAATGCGTGTGACTAGTTTTATTTATAAATGGTACAAAGATAGAGATCCGCACATACACTATAAATTAACAAGTTGGGGATTTGCTATTCCTAAATAGTTGTCCTTATTCAGATTTTGATTTTAACTATGGCACTGTTTGGGAGGAATTCTCAAAATTTTATAATAAATCAATTCTCATTTTCAACCACACATTATTCAATAAAATAATATTTTTCATCACATCAATAATTTTTTCTTATTTTTCAACCACACATTTCCCATCATATTATGTGAAGTTAAAACACCGTTTAACACCTTTTAATCGGGCTCAAAATCCTCCAATCGAAAACACAACAAGAGAAAACCACAACCCCAAGCCTCCAAACGGTTGCTCCACCTGCTTTCTACTGCTCGCACGGACATTTATGCCCTATTTGTAAGGGATTAAATTTTTTTACAGTAAATCAATTCTCATTTTCAACCACACATTCTTCAATAAAATAATATTTTCCATCACATCAATAATTTTTTCTTTTTTTCAACCACACATTTCCCATCATATCACTATTCAAAATCAATTATTCCATCAAAAATCCCTCATAAACAAGCACTATATACGTTGACCTCGTGATTCGTCGATCATATAGCCAACAAGATTATGGTCACCTCCTTATTCGCCTAAGCTTTGCATGCACACTGAACATGTAATTAGGATGCAAAAGTCACTGGACAAGAAAAAGGTCCGCAATATTTTGCACTTCGACTGTCTGTCAACTATCGAAACAAATATATGGAGTGCAAGAGATAATTATTCGATGTCGAGTCATCCAACGCAAGGTCCCTTCGTTACATGCAGGCCACGTAATTAATACAGATAACAATATTATCTTGAAATAGTGAATAATAACACGTCATTTTAAATACGATATCCCTTGTAACGTACAATCTTGTTGCATTTACATCAAGTTTGACATCTTTGTGAGGTGACAATTTTTTATACATTGATTTTGATAACACTTTTATACATAGAATGTCAAACTTGTACACAAAGTTAATTCCGTATCGTATGGTATAATGTTTTGCTATTTTCTATTTGAAGAAGAACCATTGGTTTAGTAATCTAAAATTTATGGAGGGTATTATTGTTTTAGTATTTATCCAAAAGTTCAAGTATTCAAAGAAGGGCAGCCTCAAGTCAAAAAGATTCGTAACCTGCCCCCACCAGAGGTGTTCTTTAATTGTTTATTATCATTAATTATTATTGAAAGTGTTCTCCAGTTCACGGTGAACAAAATAAGACTGTTCATTTGTTGATGTGGCAGTTCTCTCCAAATGTGAGAACCCAACGTTGGGTTCTCTCCGAGTGGACATTATAAAACTTGAAAGCCCCCACAGCCCTGCCCCTAAAGTATCGTGGAGAAGGTAAATCTCGAGATGTGCCTTAACAAGCTAGGGTACAAAGCTGATATACTGGTGCCCACAAAGAGTCAAATCAGATATTAGGATGAAATTTAAAAATGAAAAAAATACAACCCGAATAATTTCACGTCCAGATAGTATCTAGCATCTTTATGTTTAAATAAATTTATTTTTAAAAAATTCATTTAAATAAATAATTTTAAACGTTGATCCAAACAAACACAAAAGTTTTTATACTCGTAGAGCAAAATCAAATTACATGGCGCGACTACTGCCCCATGTTAACTTAAAAGTATTAGGTTATTTCACTTTTTATTGTTAAATTTAATATGAACAATATTGCACCGTTGATTTGACAAATGATGGCAACTTATTGTAAAAAGTATTACTTAGCATTAAACTTTAGATTTTAATCTAAATTTAAGTTAATAATTAATTTTAACCATATATTTTATAAAATTCAAAACGTTTTAATCACTCATTTCATTAA